AGAAAGACCGAATCACACCTATCTCAGTCCTGGGAACAAGACCTGGGGTGTGGACCCTGGAGCCATTGCCTGCTGCAGCAGCTACAGCAGCCTTTGCACAAACATACACTGTGTGTGCAAAGGGGCAAAGGCAGACAAACACATGTGCATGACATGTCATGCAGTCCTCCCAGGTGCAAAAAATGCAATCTTTGCCAGTAAATACACCAACAGACTTCATGAGCTAATGGCAAAGGACATATGCATTTGGATAAAATATGGAACAACCATCCCTGCTGCAGATGAAAATCTCTCAGCCCAGGCAGATACAGAAAAATAGAGCTCACCATGTAGAAGCCATTCACTAATTATTGACTGGCTTCTCCAAATTTTTTTTTTCTCATGATTAATCATTTATCCGACCATCCAAACTTTAAGTTCCTTTGTGCAGATTCTACTTGTGTGGAAACTTAGTAGAAGAAAACTTAAGAAAACCAGCTGACACCGATTATTAAAAGTAATTATGAGAAAATTGCTCAGCATCTTTACAACATTAAAGACAAGTCCTGGCACTGAGTCAAACTGGCCATGTGTGCCCTGATGGGGCTGAGAAGGGGGCATAATCTGCAACAGGAACCTTCCTGGACAACACAGAGCACAGCTGGCATGGTGGGTCTGGTTAAAAGCAATGCTTCAAAAGGTCTGTGCTAGAAATGGAGCCAATTCCTCATGGCATGAAGCTCCTAAGTATCCCCTTGCTGACAGGGATCTGAAAAGGGGTAGGAAAATACATATAGAAACTCAATCTTCTGAACATAAGATCTGCAGAATTCTCTACCTCCCTCCCTCCCTCCCTCCCTCCCTCCCTGGATTTATTTTGTTGGCTACTGAATCCTTTTTTTTGGTATGAGACTGGGATGTGAAGTGCGGTTTATTTTGAACTTTAACTTGGTGAAAAATAATGTGTTCCAGAAGGAATGGCATCACATAAAAATAAAGGATAATAATATCCCTGACCCTGGGTTCAGAAAAGGCCAGGAGTAGATCCTGGGATTCTCAGGCAGTCACATCTATCTTTCCAAAGTGAGAAAGCAAAGGGGCATGTACAGTGCTTCCAAGTGGCTGGAGTCTTTTGCATATACTGTGTGTTCATTTGAATATGATCACAGTGAATTCACACTTCCCTGAACCAGCTGGAGAGCAAAACAATGCTCAAAACCAAGAAAATACCAACCTGTTCTTCCCTCAGTGCTGCAGGGCTCACTCCCATGGCTTCACAGCCTGTCTGCACCTACAGCTGTGACTGCCTTCCCAGGATGCTTCCCCTGCCTGTGGGCAGGGCTGGATGGCAGGAAGCCACCCCATGCCAGGCTGACACAAACACCAGCACTGTGACAGTTCAGCTGCTGCTTCAGCTAATGCAGAGATGCCAACCACTGTCATTGTTTCACCTTTACAGTGAATAATGGAAAGTACCTTGAGGTCTTTTCTGTTCCTTTTGCTCCTTTCTCTGCAAAAATAACTAGCAGCGCATGTGTCTGGCTGCTTCTAACCATTAACAAAAGTTCCTGTGCACTTGCATCCCCTTCCATGGTGCACTAACTAATCTACACTGCTTTTTCCCCAGAGAATAAACCCCTGCTCTGCAGCAAAGTCACCCTGCCAAAATGCCTCCTTGTCTTGACTGAGGAGGTTTGTCACAGCACTTGTCCTGACAGATGGATCATTGCTGTCTAAGGACATCCAGCCACCATTTTGGCTTCTGTGGAGAAGGGCTGGAGGGCAGTGCAGCGGTGATAACCTGCTGTAAGTACCCTGCAGCAAGGTGCATATCAGCAGAAACAGGAGCAGGTCAGTGCTTGACTGTGCATAGCACCAGCAGGATGTGCTGCATAGATACACAAATAAAACACAGTGAGTTGCTCCGGGATCTCAGCACATACAGCCCTTCCCTCTCGAGCCAGACGCTTTCAGCAGATCCATGATTTCTACCTGCTGCAGGGAGGGGGCTGGGAATGGAGACTCAGAGCTCCAGTTGGGCTGGGCATATGGCCATTCCTCCTGAGGAAAGAGCTGTTGATCTCATCTCTCCTCCAGCCTGGCAGGGAGGAGGCCTTCTGTTCAAGGCAGAAGGCTACACCCAGTTTTTCCCCTCTGCAGCTCACTGCTTCCAATCACACCCTTGCTGGAGGCCAACCTCATGTTCCCTGCTGAGCACCATGAATCTGCAGGATTGAAGCCAATGATACTGTGGTTACTTGTAATAATGACACTGGGAAGAACGGACGAAAAACCATCTAAAACAGATTAACAAAGTATGTATGTCTGGTCTGTACACAGCCTATGTCTGCTGTCTTGCATCAGTTAGTGGTGCGAACAATATGTTCCCCTCATAATTCTGTCATTGTATCTCAATCCCAACCCATGATTTCGTCTCCTTCCTTCCCGAACTCCATTGCTGTACTCCCAGAGCAGGGAGGGAAAGCTCCCACATCTGTGGTTATTGTATGGTGCAGAAGAAAGTAACTTTTCAAACTTACAGTATTTTACAAATACTAGAAATGTGAAGTAGGTTTTGAAGCACTAATCAAGCTTTGGCATCTCTCTGCTGAGCAGGTCACTATTATTATTGCCCTTTGAAAAAGAGGAGGATATAGGGCAGGCAAGGTTGAACTTTTTTTTTCCCCAAGCTCACACAAGAAATTAAGTGGGGCAACCAGGGAAAACATACAGATTTCATGGTTCCCAGTTCTGTGCTCTAGCCACACAGTCTGCTTTTCCCTTTTTCCTGCCCTCTCAGTTTGCCAAAACACAGTGCTGGAGGGCAAAAGATCTCAAATGACACAAATCTATCCACAAAACATTAATGTGGGAATCTGAAGTCCATAGTTCATTTGCTTACTGCAAGCAACTCTTTTACCCCCCCGTCCATTATGCTATGCTTCTGATAGAACTTATTTTTAGTAATGAAAGTAAGCTATGTCATATCAGTGTGATATACAAGCCATGTGAGGATAATGACTTAGGGGAAAGACAGGCCTCAGAGAGATGTACTCATCACAACTTAAAGAACTGCAGTGAATTTCTATTCACATCAGTAAATCCAGGACTTTGTTTGCAGGCTCTAAACCAAATCCTCCATCCATGCAGGCTCTGATATGTCACTGGGTTCCTCTTTTCCTTCCCTTGCTTTCCAGCTATTTAGAGGAATTTTAAAAGGCTCCCTCTCAAAGCTGCACCAAACATCCTAAAGATAGGACCATGCAGCTCAGCACACAGAAATGTCATGTTCTTTCTATCATCATCTTTGTACCTACACTGTTTCCAAAACATTCACTTGCCCAACACAATGTAATGTGGTTGCAAAGAGCTTTTCAGACTCTGGAGTAACACCAACTCCCCTCCTGCATAATGTGAGCCTGGTGAACAGAGCATCTACACAGATCTACTCCTGCCTTTTTCGTGCCTTCCTATGTTTACTCATGCACCCACAGCTCTTTCTAAAAGGAACTTGATTCTTACTTTCACGGCTGCGTTAACATGACACCAAAACCTGCTCCTGCGGCATTTTGTAGGGGGATGAGGATGTCATGCTGACACATCCAGGGCTTGATCTGACAGCAAACAAGAATTGCAAAAAAATAAACCTTTGGTTTGAATGGGTTTGGCTGGGAGGAGAAAGCTCTCCTGGCTTTCAAGCACATGAACCCTCACGTGTTCAACAGAGACTGGGGAGTAGGGGGGCCGTAAGCCGCTGTGGGTAAGAAGATGGCAGAGGCTTTTATGGTTTATATCATCAGAAGACTTTGCTTCACACCTCCTTCATTCCCCAGTCTCTGAACTATGTCAGGTCTAACCCTTCTAAATGTAAGCAGCATTGGTTTATGCTGTCTCAGACCAGACATTTTGAAACAGAAGGCTGACTGCTGCCCTCCACTACCTTTCGCTAATCCACCTGCCAGTAGTCTCAGGCACAGCAGACAGAGGGGCTTGTCTCCTTTTGTCACCATATGCATGCTTTTAGGGCACACAATGACAATCAGGACAAAAATACCACTGGGATTTCATTGTATTGTGCCGATGCAATGTAATTTGGCAGCACACAGAGAATGCAGCAGAAAAACAGCAGGGAAGATGGTGATGGGAAACCACACGCTCGGGCTGCAGGATATGTACAGTCCTGGGAGCCAAATGCAAGTGGGACACACACACATGTACATGGCATGCACATGCACAGACACAAACATAGAGCTATGGGAATTAATCAGGAATTGCAGGAAGCATTTCAGCACAGCCACAGCTGCAGAAATCAGTAGCTTATCTCCTAGACCCCTTAGAAAGAGGGGACTCGAGGACAAGATTTGTAACTCTCCTTTGCTACCTTGATCTGGAGGCTCATGACAGAATCATGGTGCTGGCAGAGCTCATGCAGATACCAAGAAGACTAAGAGCTCAAACCCAGATTTCCTGAGACAATGTGGCTGGAATTCTTGATTACTACATGCATTGCAATTATTTCCTGTCTCTGAGGAAAAGGAAGCTTCTCTGGGGAGGCAAAAGCAAGGGAAAGGAGTATGGGAATTGCTGCAAGGGGACCTATAGGTAAGGCATCCAAAGGGAGTATCACATGGTGAGACTAGGGAGGTGAAAACCTTAATAGGTAAATTTTGCAACAGTAATGAACAGATTGACGGGTTCTGCTTCTCATATCACATACTGTCTTTTCCATGAGAAAGAGGTAATACCGGCAATTATATTGCCTGCACTGAGTTTGGGAGACAGCTGTGCAAGACAAACACTTTTCCATGCTACATTTACCTTGGGTCACCATGTTTTCCCCAAAACTCATGCTGAGGCTGTGCACGTGGATGCCATGCCCCCAGTGAAGAACACAAAAGTGCTCATTCCCTTCTTAAAGGAAAAAAAAAGGAAACAATATTTTCACTTTCACACTAGCAGCAAGCTGCAGGCGAGAATCAAGAGGTGCTAAGAGATGCAAGCATGTCCTTTCCAACAGATACCTTCTTCTTCGCCAGCAGTAAGTCCTGGTAAGCATTCGAACGCAGAAAGCGCGCGTAGCTGTCACTCTTCATCAGCTTGTAAATGTGCTCCTGTGGGACGGGGGGAAATGAGAGACAGAGAATTGTTATCAAACCTCATTTAGACATCACAGGGACTTAAAACACAGAAAATTGGAAGGAAGAGAGACTGATCAGAGTTCTAATTAAGTCTGCTATTATTGATTATCTGTGTTGTGGTAGGGTACAAAAGGTCCATCCTGGGGCAGGACCCTGCTGTGACTGGGGCTGTATGAACACAAAACAAAGAGACAGCCCTCACCCCAAAGATTGGCACACATTATTCACTATCAGGATTATTCTGCAAAGATTGCAACTCTCTGAAGTCTCCAGACTATAAGAAAGTGCCTACCCTGGAAAGAAGAATTAAGGAAAGAAATCTCGTAGATTAGGTTTCATTTCACCAGTTACAGAACAATCACCCAGCACTCTCTTCCTGTTCCTGGACAGGAACTGATACTTGCACACATTTCATCTCCACTTTAGACATCCGCTCCAGTAAGACAACGTGTTAATGTCCTGAAAAACTTGTATTTGTGGTGACTATGCAGGGAAGTTACATGACTAGCTCTGATGCGGATAGCTACACCATATGTATAAAGTTACATTGGATGAGTATCTCTCTTAGGGTCTTCTCTTAAGTCAAACTACTGTTTCCAGTTTGCACTGAGAGCACTTTGTGTATCTTCAAATTCACAAAGTGATGTTTCATTGCATTGCATACTCTTTTCTAATTTCCTTGCTAAGCTTTACTTTCCTGCTGAGAATCCCTTAACACAGTCAGCTTTTCTCCTAGTTATCCCTGGATTTACAAAAGATATTATCCCAAACACCAAGAAAATCAAATCAAAATTCTTTGAACAAATAATGACTGAGAATACACTAAAGGAGCTCAAGAGAAAAACAGGCACCTTGGACCTTTCTCTTAGACATTGCCCAAGGAAGCACTTTTAAAGTTAATGAGCAGTTTTATCTATAGTGAATTATACAACGTGAAATATTCTCTCCTGCCTTAAAGCCATTGTACATGAAACTTTAGAAGCACCAAACCAGACAGAAGTCACATAGCTTATTTCAGTGTGTTAACAAGCCAAGCAGAATTCCCTTCTCTTCACCATCACAGGTAATTAGCAATGACCTGTCTATACACAGAAGAACTGCTTAATTCAGCTTTCTTACAGTATTTGGTGTAGTCCTATGAGGGCCACTGGTTTTCCTTTGACACAGTGTAAATGTATTCTTTGAGCTACATCCTGGTGTGGAACAATTTTCACTGGTTAATTTTCACCCTTTCTTTTAGTCTTGACTAAATGATCCTCATCTATCCAAAGGACAGCACAAGATTTTGCAACAGAATCGTTCATATAAAGCTATTTAGCAACTGTCACCCTTCTTGCTTCAGAAAAAATACATGGTAGGGCACAGTTTCATACTCCTTGTCTACAACACTGCCATGAGATTTGGCATCCAGCTGTGGGACATTTGTTCTATTTATGCAGGACAGAAAGAGCCAAGTACACCCTAAGACAAGAAGAGGGAAAATAATGCACATCATGGATATGATCATCAAAAGATGAATAGGGATTTTCAACATCAGTTCTCTCTTAAACATTTCAACTAGCATACATGCAGGACTCTGTTGATTTAAACCCAACCACACCTCAACCAGTTTGCCTGTGCTGCTGCCTCTTGAGGTTTCCTAGGAGACTCCATGTCTTCCTTATAAGTTCCTTGTAACTACCTGGGAAACAAACTTGCCTAACTGGTGCTTTTCCAGGACTATGAGGAGACAGACTGATGAGTAAGTGGGCACCTTGCAGCCCATCAACAGTGTCTCTGTTGATGGGCTACAAAGCCCATCAAAGGGCCTGAGGGGTCTCCAGAGCCTTCATCCTCTTAGTGGTCCTCTTTGCAGCAGCCAGGACATGCAGGGGAGTGGTGGGACAAGTACTGAGGTGGGCAGCAAGGTGCTGTGGCTGAGGCAACATGGTGGGTGACAGGGATATTTATATTAACATTTTGCAAGACGTGATTAATTTTTTTACTGTCTTTGGGCTCCAAATGGTTTCTTTACCAGTGGTCAGACAACTGGGTCTGGTCTGAAACATGATGATAACATTTTTGGAAAATAATTTCCAGTTTTCATTGCCACACAGACAGAGGTGAAGGAGAACACACGAGGCTGGCCATATGACCCACCTGCATGCCAGTGACAACTATCATTCTGCTCATGTCAAGACAACTTCATGTATTTGACCTTAAAACAGTATAAAATGAGTATCATTTGGTGGTGGTCAGAAGGAGAAAAAATTGCTTTGATCCTGAGATGAAATAAACTACAAGCTGCCTTCTTAACTGAAGCCCTTCCTCGAAACAGGACTATTGCACAGCCACAGCCCTGCTGCCACTGCAATTAGCTAATTGGTATGAAGCATTTTCTCTGCTTTTCACATCTTGGAATCACTAAACAGCAACAGTGCTACCTTTCAGCTGTTCACTGCAGATATAATCAAACAGGGAATAACAGGGAATTATTAATAATAATTCCTAGGCTTTGCATGCTAATGAAGAAAGAAGGTTGGGCATAGGAAAAGGAGGGACATGCAAAACTTCAGAAGCAAACTTTACTTTTTAATTATACGAATTCAAAGGGCTTGCTTTCAACAATCTCTAGACTGAAGGCATGAATGATACACTAGTAATTTATTTTACAACACTGCATTTCTGAAGCACCTACTGGAAATCTGAGCCAGTTGCTCAGATCAGCAAAGACTGCCTGTGAAATTTGCAACAGTACAGAACAACTTGCATCGGTACAGTGAAGATCCCTACTGAGACTGCACCATGAAGATTTCTGCTAAAATTGTGGCCCACTTACACACCAAATCTAGTTGCAGGTGGGAAAAGCCAGTGGCTGGACCACTTACTTTGATCTGTAGCCTACTCTGTTCTTCGCCACCAAGCTATTTTCTCTTATGCTTTGTAGAATCTGCAACTACCTAGGGAGGAGCTACAGCTAGTATTTAGAAGATACTAATTTCATAAATGCATTGAAGGCTACTGGAGATCTAACAACTGACCATATTCTTCTGTGGAAGCCTGAGCAACAGGCAGAGGTGTGGGTTTGGATTTAGTTGCTCTGTGCGATTGTGCAAATTGTCTTGTCCTTCTCTGCCATGGATTTTTAGCTCACTTTGGATCATTGCAACCCACTGGTCTCTCACTTCTTATTTTACTGACCAGCTGGGGTTTTTTCCATCTTTTTATCACATGGGGGAAAGAAATGGCACCACATTAAAGACTGAAATCTCCCAGTGCACTCTGAAAACATGCATGATGTCCCTGACATTACACAACAGTCCTGGTAAGAAATTTGAGTTTTCCATCCTTATACTGAGATAATTCTCCATTTTGTTAAGTTGTTTATTACACGGTAATGAACTCACTACTGCTGGTTCCCTAAATAGAAAAAGTAAATGCACTATCTGTGTAATTCTTAACAATGCAGCTGCAGCTCTGGACATTCCGGTCTCTTGCACTGTGAGCAGTCTGTCCAGAATTATCACTGCAACACTTCTTTACAAGTGCAATGGGAAGTTCCTGTGCCCTATCTGCACAGGAACAGGAGGACCATTTCATCTAGGTGGTACAGCCTCTCCCAGCCATTGCCATGTACCACTTCCCACATGGTTCAGTCTCACAGCTCCCTGCTCCAGCCCTAAGACAGCAATCCTTTAGGGAGCTACATTGCAAACCCAAGGATTTAAAACAATCATCTAACAAAACTGCCCAAGTGATCTATTAAACCATTGAAGAAGGTTGCTTATAAAATGAGATAAAAGGAAGGAGAAAAAAAGTCTTTCAAGATTTGGCTAGCTGTTGACAGGCATCACATGTCCCACTGGTCTCCCCTGCAGCCTTGCCAGCTCTTTCTGAGCACTGAGCTGCCATCTCAGGCCACTGCAGTGGCAGCTGCAAGTGGAGACAGGGACTGACTTGACATGTGTGAGGGAGCCCCAGCAAGCTGGCTTCTTGAGCCGACCAGTCACTTAGTCCCTCACACAGCATGCTGCTGATGAATACTGGCTGTACTGATACTCCCCTGTGACAATGGATGCACATTGGGAAATGTCAGTCTAACATGGAAAGTGGCACAAGAACCTGCTTTTGTAAGTGCAGTGGATTTTATCTCCAGGAAGCAAACAAATCCCTTACAAGACTCCTGCAAGCAGAGCGGGTTTGCTATCAAACATCCCTGTGACTGTTGTTTCCCGGTTCTTGAACCAAGGCAATAGAGGCAATGGGATCTGCTTGCATCGCGTTGCTGAGAAAAAGTCAGGCCCTCTTTTGTGTTTTATGCACCTGAATCACATCTTCTCCATGGTGAGGAAAAATATACAGTGGTCCTGGGGGCTCTCACTGAGCATATTCTCCGAACCTGGTCTTCTGTAGTAAGAGTTACACTTAGGATAACATAACCTTTCCACTTGCCACAACCATTACATAATATAAAGAACAACATTACATTAAAAGAGGGAAATGTTGTCCCTTCTATAATAAAAGGAACCAATGAGATAAATCACAAAAAAATTCTCTTTTATAATTATGTGAAACCAACAGGAAATCCCACCCCTGACAGCTGACAGCTTAAGTGTAGGGAAATAAACCCTGATAAGGTCCAGCATCTTTTGGCTATTTTCCTTCCACAAGCTTTACCTTTGGAAAGAGATGAAGGACAGGCTTTGTAAATTATTCCTGACAAGAGGGAAAAGGGGGAGGAAAAAATAAAGTTTGCAATCCAGACGGGAATGTGGGAGGTGGCTGAGATAGCAGAACCATCCCAAAGCTGCACCTGCTCCAAATTGATGTGCTGCAATGTGATCTCAGGTCTCTCTTCCCCCTTGCAGTCAAAGCACAGTGACCCTGAGGAGGGCATGGCTGCCAGATAGCAGAACCTTGGGAACACTGAAAAAAAATGTGGGAAAAAACCTGAATGATAAAAAAACATCTCACACAAGGCATGTGGTAGATCC